ATCTTAATGCTGCCATAGCAATTTTGTAAGGCACCAGAGAAAAATGCATTGTATTATCTTTGAATTTCAGTCTGCTTTTGCTTCTCATAGCAATCAATAACCATTAGAATTATTGGTGGTAGTATCCATCTAGATAATTTTAGGGCTTTTCCAGAAATCAAGATACATAAACCAAAATTGTCATGTTGTAACTTTTTCTTTTCTTTTTAACTCTAATAAATCCAGATTTGGTTTGAAGAGAAGCAAAAAACTGTCAATAGGGAAGCGGGATGAAAAGGGAATGACACTTAGCTGAACAGATCCAGTAGTTAGTATTAGAATAAAAAGTTTGAGGGCCAGAACAAATTCCCTTTGCAGCCTGGAAAAGTGATGGTCATTGAAAAATTAGTCATATCCATGGGTCAAGTTACTAGAAATTTTTATTATTATTTTAAAACCCCAGCTTACAAAGCTGAGGCCAACCTATTGAACATAATTTAACTTCTTTCCAACAAAAAGGGAAGGACTTTCCCACAATTTTAGAGTATGTATTTTGTATTAGAGGCGGCTGCCTGGCAGCTCAGGAGTCCTGGCTGTGGGAAGCTAAGGGGTATGGCAGGCTCTGCGACTAGGAGTGCAGCTCGAGCTGAGTTTGGCAGAGGCAGAGAGCGGGCAGCTGCCTGCCTCTGCCTGCGGAGCAGGGTGCTGTTTGCGTGCACAGCTGGACGTGGCAGCTTCCTCTCATTGCTGCTTCTAGTGTGATGCACTGTGGAGAGGGAGAGGCAAAAGCGAGAGCTCAGCGGGTGGCTGTCAGACAGGATCGCAGGGAATGGGCGTCCCTCTTCCTCAGTCACCTGCATCCCACCTTCCTGACCTACACAGGGGACTGGCAGGGCAGGATCCTAGACAGAGAGATGGACCAGTACCTTAGGGCAAAGAGAGACTGGGGTTGAGTCTGACGGAGAAAATAGGTTGAGCAAATTAGCAGTGTCTTGTAATGGATCAGCCTAAACTGTACAGACACTGGGAGCCGAGTAGCGCAGGGGGAGGATGCCATCAGAAGGGAGAGCTCCTTCTGTGCATGTACAGTTGTTGTAAGATTAGTTTGAATTATTTCAGGTGCACAAGAGATTTCCCCCTCATATTTCAGGGTGGGGACCATCAGTGTGGCATCTTAAAGATAAACATGAAGTCTGCCTTAAAACAATGACTTTCATAACCTTTAAAGTCTATTTTACAATTTATTTTCTCTGGTAGATTTTGGAAGCCTGGATATTATCTGTCAAGCTGTCGTAAGTAATTATATGTTTGTTAACTTACTGTTCCTAATAAACAACAAGAAATATTCATGATGAATTTCACTTTTCCCTAAAAAAAGATTTAGTAACTACTGTGATTAAATATTAAAGCTTTCTTTTGCTGTTACAACTAGACAGAAAATTCCAAATATCAGCAAAATATTTTGTGCACTATCTTTTTACTACCTGGCCATTATGCTGGACTTTATTGATTGCTAACATAATTGAACAGGGTAATTTCTAGGTGGTCAGGTGGAAGACTGATGTGACTGGCTGTATAATGACTCAGCAAACTAAAACTACTTTCATACTGTATCACTGAAAATACCTGAAAATTGGACTTTCTGTGGATAGACAGGATTGCCTGGCCTTGGGGAACAGTTGATAGTATTGCGTTTCCCACTGGGCAGAAGAGATTACTGAGGTAAAGGAAACCCTTACAGCCAGCAAGACCTTACGGGGTTTCCTGTCTTTTTTTGCCTTCCCCAGTGCTTGTACCAGGGCAGCGATACGGGGTGTCAGGGAATGATTTAGAGCAACATGAGTCTCCCTCAACTCCAGCAGAGGGGGGCAGATCTCAGAAGGTGTTGGATGAATGGTAGGAGCTGAATCAGTTGTCCGGATACGCCCCGTGCTTGTGGAACGGTAGTTGGCTGTAACAGAAGTGACAGGTGGTTCATCAAACATGAAAAAACCCTAATTTATTCCAGAAGACAAGCCTGCCTGCTAGAGAAATTGTAATCGGTGCGTGTACAAGAGCTAAAGGAGCTTTAATGGCACTGCTGAAACCATAACATAATATCCAGGTTGAAATCATTCCATCTTTATCTCATTATGAGTACAATTTTCTTCTATATGTGAAACTTAAATGTCAAATTGAGGAAGTGGAGGGAACATAAACAAAAGACTGTGGGCATATTCTATTGTTTCTTTAAAGGAACTGTAGAAGCTGCAGAAGGCTGTGGGAAGATGCTAAAAGCAAAATGGGGGGGATAGAGGCTTCCAAAAACTTCCCACTTTTAGTGGGAAGTTTAGCTCTTTAGTAAGAGCTTCTTTACCTGTGCTGGAAGAAAGAAGCTCCCAAGAGGATTGTCTATCATTACCACATTCCTCTTTAAAAAAGAGAAGAGAGAACTTGTGAATAAGTGCTGCTTATGTGATCCATTAAGAATGTGTGTATGTCTCAGCAAGCGGTAAGTAGGGAGCTTGTATACTAGAAGCACAATTGCTATAGTAGCAGGTAGTTCAGAACAGGTATTCGCACGATTTAAGTTTTGCAGCATGCTGAGTTGGAAGCTGCAGCAGATGTGCCGCTAGTTAGCGGTACAAGTGCTGGTTCATTGTAAGCTATCTTGTGTGTAGGCACAGCTTACATATAAGATGTTTTTCTACACTGAAACGTGGCAATACAAATACCCTTCCAGATACTCTGTGGCAAACCAGATCTCTGCTGTGTTGTTAAGGCCTTTAATTTTTAGAGCTCAATTCCTTTAGTTCTGAAATGGCATTGTAAAAATTGAATGAGAGCTAGAAAGAAATTGTGTACTGTATGTGGAAAGCCTGTAGGGGCTGAAAGCAGTTACTGCTTGGGTTTTTTCTTTCTTCCACGTGCTCCAGGATGCAGGCTACTCACTGACTAGTAGTTGCCCCAGAATCTGCTCTGTTTTCACTCTTGCTGTGTTTTGTCACTACTTTCCGACGCTTGTCTTTGGAGGGGTGAAAGGGTCTCATTGGGTGCTGGGTAGTGGAAACAGTAGGAAGGAAATGAAGAACACAAGGTGCTAGTCTATAAGAAATTCAGCATTAAGAGGTGTTTGAGTCTTCATTAAGTCATATCCAAGATTTAAAGTGTGGTTTTCAACTGTTACTCAAACGTTTTGAGTATTGTCTCACCTAAAGGTACTTTTGCATCCCTTTTCTTCATGTACTCATGCACTTGCTTTTTCCTTTTTTTCTCTGCTCTACAATAGAACTGACTGGACAAATGTTGTGTAAGAAACTGATGTGAAATTCCAAGGAAAACTATTTCTCAAGAAATAGTGTGATTTTTTTAATGTCAGTTCCTGGCAGGTTATCCCGTATGGAATTATTATGGTATCTTGGCACCACAATTGATATGTTTAATAATTTTCATTATGTGTTTGGGTCCCTTTGATGCTTGATTATTACATTTTAAAAAGATTATAATGTAGAATATATTTGCTTTTGAACATACGAAAAACACAACCTTCCCTTTCCAGATGCATTCATTTTAACTCTGTTTAGCATTCACTAAATCTGTGGTTATTTCTTTTTTTCTTTGGAAATGCACTTATTGTTCTATTTCAAGAATGAATCGTGTTCCATTGCTACCCCAAAATATAACATAACAAAAACGGTAAAAATGACTGCCTGTAATCTATTATTACAGGCAATCCAACCTGCCAAAACAGAATTGCCATTTAATAAGGTGTTTTTTGAAATGAGCTCTGTGAATGCTCCATGCTAACTGAAATTGCCCGCGAATTCTGTATTTAAAAAGATGTTTCCTTTTAAGTGGCCGTATTTTACTATATATGACAGAAAATCCAATGGCATATATTTCCCTCTCTTTGTCAATCCTTGCAGTCTCCATGGGCATTTAGATCACTCTGATGTGAGACCTGGATAAGATGCTATTTATATAACGTATTGTCAAAGGCCTTATCCAAAGGGTAGTACGTTAGAGATTTTGTATTTTAGGAGGAGGAAAATCCTGGCACTACTTAAATAGTGTATTTCAGCAGAGGACCTTTTTTGTGAGTGTCATTGTTCCCATTTTACGACAGAAAGAATTTAGGGAGAAAGAAAATATGAGAGACTTGTCTGTATTTTTGCAGCAATGTGTAAAGTTCTTTCCCTGGGAAATTCATACGGAGAAAATAAAAAGGAGCCAACATCCTATTCAATGCTCAGTCCCAGTACTCAAAAATCTTGACGTATTTGTTATTGAAGCAGACCCGTTACAGATATTAACAAGTATTTGCAGGGTATTTTGGTAATATTAAAAAAAGGGAAGTGTGAAGAGTCAGCAAGTCTAATTCTATGAATTAATTCTACTTTAATCTATTTGATTATACTGGCTTTTGATTTGGGGTGGTCGATCTTGAAATATTCCAAGGTAGTGAAAAGTTGAAGAGACAAGAAGCCATTAACTGCTCAGTCTTCTGGCTCCAGCTCCAAAGAGCATTGAGGAAAGGCAAGGGCTGTCATCTGAAAACGTGGCTCCCCTGCCCAAATAATGCAGACTTTAAAAAAGTTTTCCATAATGTTTCTTTTAATTCACCTATTTAAGTTAGTTCCACTGCAGCCTATGTCCTTCTTACAGGGTGTCCATTGAACATAGCACAGCCTGGGTAGGAAATGGCAGAGAAACCGGAGTCAAGTTCTCTCTGAAATTCTGCTGCTGAACTTTACTCTGTTGGCAAGTCATTTCATATTTTTGTCCGAGGTTTTCATCTGCACACACAGATGAAAGTGTGTACCCCCACACCTTAAAAGTTAAAGCAACTCTATAAAAAATAAGTTACTTCGCTGCAAAAATATCAGACCTACAGTCTACTCCAAATGTATGCAGTTGTGATACATTACCATTATTTTTATGAATTTTGTACCTGACTGTTTTATTCCCTCAAGGGAAATTAATGCTGAATGCTGATAGAGCAGTTGAACATATAACTGATGCATACTTTTCTCTCCTAAAAGCACACAAAAGAAATGGGAAGGCCACAAACTCCTTTGAAAGAAACAACCTTGGAGCCTTGGACTCAGCCACAGGTAAGCTGGAACAGCTTTTCTGATAATGTTTTCTTCTGTAACAGTGGTTTCTATACATCTTAATAGAATCAGCCTGGGCCTCTAAAGAAACTCTGCAACAGGTAGCAGGGTGGTTCTTAGCATCGTATGTCAAAATGATTTCTTTCGCTGTTTGGCTGCCCAGACTATTGGTAGTGTCCTTTTAGTTAAAGTTTCAGCTTTTTTCTAAGGCAGAAATGCCAGGATTATCTTGCCTTCGGTGTGTGTTCCTTATATGCTTAAAAAACTTTGCAGAACTTTACAAAACAAAACTACTTTCTGAATGGTGTGTCAAGAAACTGCGAGCATCTCCTGGTGTAGAAATGAAGTTTGTGGAATTTTGTTATTTTGAGAGCGGGGTTTGAAAGATCAACCTTTTGATTCGTAAGGATTTAACCAAAAATGAAGCAACACTTAATCATGCAGAAAGAGATAAAGAAATGGGGATATTAACATGCAATCTTCCTTAACACAGTGTTTTGGGATGTTTTGGCCTTGCAGTGGTGTACTTACTTGAGCAAATCAGTCATTATAAATTTCTTACATGCAGGAGTTCAGAGCCTTTTTTGCTATCTAGTCCCTGTGTATCAGTGTACTGTACTGCACACTGAAATATGTGGCTTCGGAGGTGATGGGAGGGAAGGAAAGAGGCAGTTCATAGTGTAGGTGAAACTGGGTGTTGCTGTTCCAAGGATAAGGATTGGGACTGTATGAGAAAAGGCGCTGGAGTGGGGTGGAGATGAAGTAGGGTGCCGGGAAGACCAACCTGGAGAATCAGGCTGCTTCTGCAAATTCCCAGGGGAAGATAGCTGCTGCTTTTTATGGATGTGGGGGCATTTTTCTTTCAGCAGCTTCCACATTTGTAATTCATATGGCACAGTGCCTCTTCCTGACAGAAGCACCTACCTCTGCTTTGCAGGGTTCACCTGTTGCTAAAGGCAGCAGTGAACCTATAGCTGTAATGCCAAAGTTGAGAGTTTGCTGGCAAAGATGGAGAGAACCAGGCAGAGGTAGCAACCCCCTGTAATTACAGTGTGACTGTAGTCTAAGTAGGCTCTGCCTCGTATTTTCAGGCTGTAAGCACTCTGCCCAAACAACTATTCTCCTGTTTAATCTCTAGTTTTTACAAACTATATATATGAAATCTTAGAACTTAGGCTTGTTCCACAGGCATGTTTACTCCAAAAGCACGTGGCAAACACAGCGTAGTAATTTAGAAGTAGAAATGAAAAAAACCCCATATCTCTGTTACTGCTAAGTTTGTTCATGCTTGAGTGCATAATTTTTTTTTTTTTTTAATTAGTTGCAATGTTAACTGTGCAGGCTTTCATGGTACAATCTATACAGCTGATTAAAATATAGTAGCCCTTAAATGGTAAATTCTTCACTGTAGTCACAGATATGTGGTATTTATGTTTGTGCACCTCTACATACAGAAAGAAGATAGTTATCTGTAAACATGCAAGCCTTGTATTGTAGGGAAATCCCTAAACTGTTGCTCTCCAAAACACAGGATCTTCCCTCCTTCCTAAATAAAAGGCTCCCAGGTGCAGCATGTGCCCTGACTGCTTCCAGCTACTGCATGGCCAAACCTCCAAACGCCTCTATCCAGGCAGCTGCTAATCACAATAGTTAAGCGTGCATTGATCTGTGTCTGCAATCAATAATGTTTATGTGCAGGACCACAGGAGCTTGCTATGGTCCATAGTTACTAATAGACAGTAACTCTTTATGTGCAGGAACAAAACTGTTGAGGAAAAGTGTTTCGTTCCAGCAGTTACTGCTAAACGGCTGATGAATCATTAAGGGGGGGCTAACAGGCTTCTCCTGTTTCCTTGCCTGCAGCATGTGTTGCAGAGCAGGCAGGTAGAGAGCTTGGAGTTGGGGCTGGGCTTTGGTTTGTTGGCACAGAAGAGAGAATTTTGGCTTCTGAGTTGTGAGAGGAGGAGTTGAAGCAGCTTGATGCCGTGATTGTCGTTTAGGGGAGCCCTGGTGCATGAACGTCGGTGTCAGAGGTGAGCTTTTGCAGGAGGTCGTTTGTGTGACTGCTGCCAGCAGCATTGTCAAAGAAATATTCTGTTGGACTGTCCCAGTGCTGATGAGAATCAGTGTTCTTCCTGAGCATGCAGACCGTCACCACCAAGTTATCTGATCACTTCTGAAAGCTGCATTTGGCACTGCTTTATTTAGTAACTACACAGATTAAAACGTGTGAAATGTTTTTGTCATTTCTATTCATATTTGGGGAAAAAAAAATCTGCCTTTTAAAAAAATACGTACAAAGAAGCTAACACCAATATGCTTTTGTATTTCGTGGAGAAAAGAAATGTAATCAACAAAATCAAAAACTGCTGGAACCATTATTGTAGCAGAAAATTAAATTAGTTGTTAATTCTTTCATGGATGTAATTCTGGCCCCTGCAAATCCCTCCTTAGATATTTTGTATAAAGTGAGTAAAAATTCATGGCATGGATAAAAGCTTTGTCTATTTTATGGGCAACGGGCAAATGATCCAAATGGTGCTCATAAAGCAAATGGCTCCCAACTCTAAAAGGAGGAGGAATATATTTAAAAGCTGCTAGAATGAACCATGAGTAAAACCAAGTCCTATTTACAAGAAGGGGTTATTTACATGGATGTTTTTTGAGTTCCCCCCTATTCACCCAAAGGGAGACACTCACTACTTTTGTCTACTTAATAATAACAATAAAAAATCATTACACTTTCTTGAGCTACTTACTGCTGTTCAGTGTTGAGAGCTGCTGTGGGACGCGTTTTATCAACAGAGGGAGTGAACGAAATAGCTGAGAGCACAGTTTCAGTGTGCAGGGCCAAAGAGTCAGTGAAGCAGAAAGTACCACATCTGGCCCCTAATATCACGAGGTGAGAAGCTGGTACCTATTAGCAGTTGGGCAATTTCACACAGAGGTTATAGTCTGGGGGAAACAAGAAATGGTGCTTTTTGTGCAGAGGGAGAGAAGGCTTTATGTCTCCTGTTCTGTCATGGCTTTCATTTGCCTTCTTTGTTCAAGGTTTCATCTTAGAAGCAGCCAGGTAGCTGAAAATTTTGAAACTGAACTGTTCAATTACACCAAAAATAAAGAACTGTAGTGCTTTGTCAGGCTAATTTCTTATTCTGTGGTGGATTTGTTTGTTCTTGGTTTTGGAGTTTTGGTTTTTGCTTTTTTGGCTGTGATTTAATAAGTTCCTAGAGCAACATGACATTGCCAATGTGGGAATTCTTTTTCATGGCCATGCGTTTTAACTTGGAGTTTTCTGTATCTTTTTCTGTGAACTCAGTGAATGGAAACTGATGTTACTGCCTGGAAAATAAAGTGTGAGAGACTCATTCTGATAAATTCAGGACAAGACCTTTGCAGATAAGGAACCTGTGTGGTAGTAGTCGCCCAAATAGACTTGTCATTGGTTTACAAGCTTTATTTAAATGCTAAATATCATGTATTCCTGTGGTTATGTTTTTTGCTGCTTTGCCTGATTAAACATTTAGCTGATAAACCCTGTCAAGGCTGTTCAGAGCTACTGCAGTTAAGATTGTGTATTTATAGCCTCTATTTTTATGGTCAGTAAGAAACAGGATAATTTAAAATCAAACTAATCTGTGATTGTTCAAATTTTTGAAGTTGCTGATACTATTTTAAAATCTGAATTTTGCATGGTAACAGCATGAAATAATATTGATCACAATGATTCTGATTCAGAAACAAATTGCTTTATTCTTCCAAATTACTAGAAGGACAAATCTAGAAAGAGAGAATAAGGATATTCCAAAATAAGGAAAAAGAACGATGATTAAGGTTATATAGCTTAAAATTGCAGTAGTGGCAAATAGCGAGGTCAAATAGCATGGCAGATACAGCAAAACTCCCACTCTTCAGTTGCAGAGTATTTCTGACTTAAAACTTTTTTTGGGTTTTTTTGTGACTCTTACATCACTATCTATTCTATATCTATGTGAAATACTGCATATAAGTGATTCCTAGAGGTGTTCGACAGGATAAAATGTGAGAAGGTAGTATTAGTGCTGTAGCTTTTTATTTGTTTATTAATTGTAATAGCTTCAAGTGCTCTTACTCACTTAAGATAATGGCTAAAAAGCCAGGGTACAGTTGCATTAATTTTCGTGGCCCAAATGTAGCATAATTACTTTAATGAACACATTAATTTATCCCCTTTCCTCCTGCTCTTCCTCCTTCACAGTCCACATCGTCACTGGAAACCCAGACAATGATGACCCTGAAGGTTTATAGCTCACCTCAAAGTTCTTTGTGAGGGTTAAATATCCAAGGACTGAGATTTGTCAGGCTCAGGTCGTGTGCATTCATGTGTGTCTTACAAATAAGCAACTTCTAGCACCAACGCAGCTTTATTACCACCCGGTGTAATGGTGGTGCATTGCCACAGCAATGGGCATGACAAGCAGGAGCAATAAGATACAGCACAAGTGCGACCATTTGTCTCTCAAAAGCGGAAGGGGAAAATAATTTGTTTCCTCTTTTGCATCTACAGTTTTGTTTTCTCTCTGTTTGTGTGCAGAGCACAGTCCTTTTCTCTTTTTTTATTTTTTTGGGAAGCAGAATTACTTTTTGTGGAAAGGCAAAAACACTCTGACTGAAATCTAATTACAAATGATAGAGTGCAGTATTTTTCTGCTCAATTTTAAAGAATCACTTTATAATCTTGGAACAGTGGATAACAACATCACTAATCCAATATTTTAACAGTAAATACGTTTGATGACGGGAATTGCTACACTAATCTTATATCCCTCCACAGTATAGTTAAGAAATCCACAGGGGGTTTTACTAATCAGTTTTTGAAAAGTAAATCAAGTCATGTAATTCTCATTCCCTCTAAATGCCCGGCAACTGCAGGCAGAACCATGTGCAGTACTTTTTGTTCTTTTCATCAGTTTTGTACCCTAATCTGCACCCATGCTTTCCCTTCAATACGCAAGAAAGAG